TATTAGGCATTATTTATAAGTATAAATTTACAGAGTAAGAAAAAGAACTAGGAAAGGACACAGTTTTTAATTGATTTTGATTAAAAGAAATACTACTACTTCTTTTGGATTTCCTTTAAGTGCAGTTAATTAGTTTTTTTATTATGTCTGGAAAGATTTAATTTTTTCTCCACTTATTTCAAAGAAAAATCTGATTAATATTTTACTTAAAACTTGAGAGTTTCAAATGTAGATAATGTGGTTATGTCTATCTCCAACCTACCTTTCTTATATTATTAAAATAGGAAATATGCAAATAAATGTCATTAAGTTAATGAAGAACTTTTAATGTAGCGTACTCACTGTTGAAATTATTTTTAACTGTTTCACCTAGATTTTAAATCAGATTTTAATATTTGTTCCATGAAATTACATTCTTTTGCATTCCCTCTCAAGTGATTGACAACGGAATCATACATCAGTATTGAAAACTATTATTCCAATGCTAGCGTATTGATAGATTTCTGTTATTTTTTGAAAAACATACGTAATTGCTATTTAAGTGTATGATTTTATGAAATGTATTACAGGTTCTTGCACGCATTGCCAATGCCACAAGGCCAACTATTCATCTGTGTGAGATTGTGAATGAACCCCAGCTGGAAAGACTGCTATTGCTTTTGGTTGGAACTGACTTCAATAGAGGAGATATATCTTGGGGTGGTGCTTGGGCTCAGTATTCCTTAACTTGTATGCTACAGGATATTTTAGCAGGTTTGTCAGGCTTTATTTTTCATAGGGTATGTCACATTTAGCTTATTATTGCTCAATTAAGTAATCTTAAAGAGAATTGTAAACCTGTAAAAGGTTTCTTTAGCCAAATGTGGTAGTGCAGCACCTGTGGTCTCAGGTACTCGAGAGGCTGAGGCAGGAGGATCTCTTGAGCCCAGGAGTTTTGGGCTGTAGTGCTCTATGCTAGTTGTGTGTCTGCATAAATTCGCCATCAGTATGGTGACCTCCTGGGAGCAGGGAACCACTAGGTTTCCTAAGGAGGGGTGAACTAGCCCAGGTTGGAAACAGGTGCAGGTCAGTACTCCTGTTCTGATCAGTAGTAATGGGATCGCACCTGTGAATAGCCACTGCACTCCAGCCTGGGCAATATAGGGAGTCTCTTAAAAAAAAAAAAAAAAAAAGGTCTCTTTAATGTTACAGCAGTAGTAGCTATTTAGAATTACTTTATATTTAATTATGTTGACATATGTGATAAATATGCATCTTTAGAAAGGAGTTAGTTTGTTAAAGTGCATGGATATTGGAGCTAGTCTGCTTTATTATTACCAGTGGTATGCTGCTTACTGGTTCTTTGTGTAACCTTGAGGAAATCACGGTGCCTCAGTTTCTTCATCTGTAACATAGGATAATAAAAATACCTTTCTTACAAGGTTGTTTTGATAAACAAATGAGTCGTCAATGTATGTAAGATAATTATAGTAACTCTATACATATGCATTTTGTGTTTTCTGCTACTAGTTACTTGACTTTGGCATTTGAAGGTAATGTAGTGAGTCCTAGAATTCCTTAGGTGGTTCTCTAAACTGGAGGAACAAATCTGGTTTAATATGTTTCAGAAATCTCTGTATAAATTTTTAAAGCAGTTGGGACTGTTTCCTTACGTACAGGAGAACTGTTGGCTCCAGTAGCTGCAGAAGCCATGGAGGAAGGAACAGTGGGTGATGATGTAGGTGCAACAGCTGGTGACTCTGATGACTCCCTTCAGCAGTCCTCAGTTCAGTTGCTGGAAACTATAGATGAACCTTTGACACATGATATAACAGGTACATTTTTAAACTGTGTTTTATTTAAGATGTTTTAATTTTTTCTATTAAATAAAAACATGTTTAAAAATAATGTTAGAGAAGTATAAAGTTGATTTTCATATTTTTTATTAGGTATTTGGCCTTAGAAACTACATGATTTATTTTCCTGATAAATACATTTTGTCTTGGTTCTCCGAATGAATGCTCATTATAACAAAGTGGTTGCATTTCATAATGTCCTGATTATTTTGACATAGTCCGATTTGCCTATGTTAAAGAAAATACAAAATAGAAAACATTTAAAGATATGCTGTAGTGAAGATAGCAAGATTTAAAGACTTTTGTTCTTTAGATCCAGCTTTTTTGTGGGTTTTTTTTGATGTATTTTTTTTTCTTTGGTTTTTTCCTTCCTTTTTAAAAACTATATTTGTAAATTACCATGTATAATCCTTTGTGGTATGGAAACTCTGTTTTGATTCCTACCTTATATATGTCAGATGCTGTGGTTATTTTCAAACATTTGTCATTCCTTAATCTTACATTCTCTCTTGATGTGATCTTTTTTTTTTTTAATGTGATATTCTCTTTATCTGGTATAGACTTCCTTCTCTTATTTGGATGATGAATTCCTCTTTATCTAAGTTTTACATAAAGCATGCCTTCCTCCCAAGAGGCTTTTTCTACCACTACCAGCAGAGTTGGGGACTGTGCCGTCTGTACTCCTCTTGTACTCTCAAATATCTCTGCTAGCATATGATGTTGGAGTTAGTTTAATTATAGATACACCCCACCTCTGAATCTCTATTAATTAGGGGATATTTCTTTCATTAATCTTTATGTACATATACTTAAACCCTAGTACAGGCTGGCATTTAGTAGACTTTCTCTTAATATATGTTGAATAAGAGGATGGGAATGATGGGAAAGTAAGGTTTGTGAGGGATAGGAAGCTACTTAAAAATTTAAAGACACCTAAGAGCAAAATAATTTCTAATTCATAATAGAAAAGTAAGATAAATAGAAGTCTTATAACTTAAATCCTCTTTGCTTTTCTCTTTATTACTGGATAACATTACCAGTAATAATGGATGCAACATAATGAATTATATATTGGATATATTAGAATAATATTTATTCTAGAAGTGTTAATGATTATTTTTAATAACAAAGTTTATGAAACTTGATTCAGTAAGAACTAATACTGTGTCTTTTTCCTAGGAAAGCAAATATTGCATTCGTGTTTTCATTATATGTTATGGAGTGATACATTTGCATACCTATTATTGCTTAATTGTTAAGTGAAAAATTTGTGGTTTTTAAAATAAAGAGGCATATATATGTTACATACAAGCAAAATAATTTTTTTTGTAAATAAAAGCAATGTATCAGCTAAATCTTATGCAATACACTCCACCAATAAAATCACTTTCAATTATTTGAAGGTGCACCTCCTCTCTCCTCTTTGGAAAAAGATAAGGAAATTGACCTTGAACTACTTCAAGATCTCATGGAAGTTGACATTGATCCTTTAGATATTGATTTGGAAAAGGATCCTCTTGCAGCCAAGGTTTTTAAGGTATGATACATTAGAATATTCTTTGCAGTTTAAGTCTTTCATGTTACACTCTTGGCTTAGTAATTACCTAAAAGAGGAAAACATACATGTTTGTCACTAAATGCAATCCATTATTCAGCATGTTCAAAATGCGTTAAATTGCTGTGGGTACTAGAGTAGTTTTTAAAAATATACCAATGGAATAATAAAGAAAACTTATACAATTTTATTAATATAGCCATTAATAATTACCTTATAGCAATAAAAACCGCTGTTAAGTGTGCAGAAGTATAGTTATGGGTCGCCGACATTTCAGGCAGTCGTTTAAACCTCATCCAAGCTGAGTTCATTGACGCTTCCCATTCTCTGTTAGCCTCCACTTTTTCTAAGGGAGATATACCTGTAATACTTTATAGAGGTGCTGTGTTTTTGGTGCATAAGAGATTTTATTAGGGATGCTAGTTATCTCTCAGTTTCTAAACATAATAAGGTATTCCTAGATTTTTGGCAGAAAATGAAGAGAATCTTACTGTACGATTCTTATATGTCTTTAAAATTAGAACTGGGTTTTAGAAATTTAAAGGGTGGGTAGAATGTTTATTTTGTAATCCTGTTTGGCTTTAGATAATGTAAATAATGTGATAGTCAGTGAAAAGACAAAAATAAATCACATTTTTTCCCATTCTTTTAAGCCAATAAGCAGTACATGGTATGATTATTGGGGTGCTGATTATGGTACCTACAATTACAACCCTTACATTGGAGGTCTGGGCATTCCTGTTGCAAAGCCACCAGCAAACACAGAGAAGAATGGATCACAGACAGTTAGTGTTTCAGTGTCTCAAGGTAAGTGTATGTTTGTATTTTAAGGCATCTGGTATTCTTAAAACAAGTCCCAAATTTATGTGTACTTTATACCTGGAAAAATTGAGGCTGGGTATGTGTATGCCAGGAATATTTAGTATCACCTGTGCCATTTACACTGTCCATTTGGAAGAGCTTTCATTTATGATTTTTGTGTTTCTCTCTCAAAATAATGTCTAGCAAAAGCTTTTTGTAGGATGGTATTAACAGTGATTTTAATTAATTCTCCTTTGTTTTAATTTCTCGTCTTTAAAAGTAAACTTTTATTTATAAATAGAATGAAACCACATTAAATATTATTTTTGTACTTTTGTAGTCATGTAAAATATATCAGACATATTTAATTTTTTATAAAATATTTTTTAAAATTTTGAAACAATTACACAATTATTGAACTGTTGCAAGTACAATGCAGAGAATGTTTGTTATCCTGAACCATTTGAAAATAAGTTGCTAATTTGATGTTATTTTTGTTTTGTTTGTTTTACAAAGCAGAACATTCTTCTACATAAGCACATCAAGGATCGTATTCTCTCAAAATTGGGAAATTAGCACTCACTACTCTCAAACACTGAAAGCTTATTCGAATTTTAGCAGTTGTCCAAATAATGTTCGTTATGCACAAGGACCCAGTGAAAAATTATGCACTTCATTTAGTTGTCACATCTCTTTAGTCTTGTTCAGTCTGCAACAGTTCTTCAGATCTGACATTTATGACCTTGATGCTTTTGAAGATTACAGGCCAGTTATTTTATAGAATCTCCCTCAGTTTTGTTTTGTGTGCTATTTCCTCATGATTAGATTGAGATCATGCATCTTGGCAGGAATATCACAGATATAGTGCAGGTTTTATTTCCTTTCAGCCTATTAATATTAAGTGACCCATGATTTTGATCTGTCCACTACTGAGGGTGTTAAGTTTAATCGCTTGATTAAGGAGGAGTCTGCCAGGCTTCTCCATTGTGAAGTTACTCTTTTCCGCTTTGCAAAAAGTTTTTGGGGGTTGGGGAAGCAGAGTAGTCCTTGGAAACTATAAATATCTTGTTTCTCACTAAATTTCTTTTTAAAAATTTACTAATTTATTTAGTTTTGAATGGACTCATTTCTTTTTTTATTCAGTGGGGTATAACATTATTTTGTATTTGTTTTTATTTTGGTGACATATAAATAACATAAAATATCATTTTAACCATTTTTTGGGTGTATAGTTAGTTCACTGTCATTGAGTACACTAACAGTATTGTCATTATTTTTTTATTGATGTTCAGTTTGTCCCAAAGTTGACCAGTAAGATCACTGTTAATCTGGTCTCTGGCATTTTGACATGTCATTTGTCATTCTTCGAGCAGTTCCTTGTTCTCTGGCAAGACATGATACCCCAGGCTCGTCATTTACTCTACCTGCCGCAATCTGTGAATTAGCCACTTCTGCAAGGAGTAGAGCAGTTCAAAACCTTTTAAAGCAGAGATGTGCTTAAATCAAGATTTGGGTGCTCAGTGTACTTGTTGCCATTTTGGTGGCTGCTTCCATACCCTCTTGGTGGACTGAGAGAAAGAGCATGTGCACGCACATGAGTGAACACACACATTTTCATCTGTATTTATTTCAGTGTCTATATGTATTGACTGTGATGTGTTCACATCAGTATATCTATCTGACAGTCTAATAGGGTTCATTTTAGTTTTCTCCCTTCCACATTTATACCCTTTTTTTTTTTTTTTTTTTTTTAGCAGCGAGAAACCTGGCGCTCATCCTTAATGTATTTGCTTCCATTACTTCACGGATGTGATCTACCTGTTTCTATGTAACTAGTCTCCTGTTTCTAACCTCCTTTCCGCAGATCATCTCCCCCTGCTCTAGCTCTGATACCACGTGAGATTGTTCTTCTGTAAGGACGCACTTCTCATCACTCTCTCTTGGGTTCAGATGTTGGTATTTTACTGTAGAAAGAAGGACATGAGAAATAATTTTCAAATATGCCTTTTTTCTTTCAATTGTTTTTTGTAGCCCTAGATGCTTGTCTAGAAGTTGGACTTGAACAGCAAGCAGAACTTATGTTGAAAATGATGTCTACCCTGGAAGCAGATTCCATTTTACAGGCATTAACAAATACATCTCCTATGTGTAAGTAAAATTACCGTCTTTAGAGTATTGTGGTGAGTGATTTTTCAACTGATTATTTTCAGGACAAGGACAGATTTTAAAATTCTGTGTCTGGTATGAGTCTGAGGGGACTTAGTATATAGCACCTCTCCTCCTTTAAGTAGAAAGTTAAGAACTAAGACAAAGGATTAACAAATGGGGGGAGGAGTGTGCAGAATACCTCCATGTAGTGGTCTCAGTTCTCTCCAAAAACCTGAATCTTGTTATTGCGTATTTGTTGTTGTGTTGTTGTGAGGTCAGTGAAATTACTAGGAAAGCCTTCGTAGCTGCCTGTGAGTTCATTGTGCTATATCCAAATTTATGGTGAAGTGGATTTTTTTAAGTAACATCTTTATCATCCTTAAAGACTAGGATAGAAGACATAGGGTCGAATGACAGCCAAATGGGTCTGCTACCTGAATCCCAGAATTGAGAGGATTTATTACCTAATTATCTACAGAAAAGGAAGGCAAACTTTTTAATAAATGGCTAATAGTAAATATTTTAGGCTTTGCTTGCCATATGGTATGTGTTGAAACTATTCAGCTCTGATTTGGTGGCAGGAATGCAGCCATAGACAGTATATAAATGACTGGGCATGGCTGTGTTACAGAAACAGGTGGCCTTCCAGATTTGACCATCATGTCATGGCTTGCTAGCCTTGATGTACAATGCTAGACTTGTGTAGATCTCCTCATGTCATAGGTATACAGTGAAGATAGCACCCTATTTCTGAAGGACAGATTGAGAATCTATGAGGAGAGAGGGTGATAGTTTATTTTTCTTAGGCCTACAGATCATTTCACCTTCCATAGGGCAGAACAAGGAAAGGAATAGAGATAATAGGTAGAACCCAGGAAAGTCAAGTGTGCTTCTCTGAAGGAGAGTTCACAGCCCATTTAAATAAAGACATTTGGGTTTTTAGATCTTCCTTTTGTTATGTGGAATTCTTTTGGTTTGCAATTTTCATTTATTTCTTGCCTTAGAATATAGAAAAAAGGAAAAAAAAAAAAAAACCCAGAAGGGATGATCTAGTATTTTGTCGTCTTAATATTGGCGTACTAATATTGTATCTTATCTCCCAGGTAATAGAGGAATCCCTTTTATAGGGTCCAGCCTCTGCGTGATTACAGATAACTTAATATTGTCTAAATAGCCCTTTTGTTTGTTAGACATTTCTTGTTTCAAGCAGTTTATTAGAAAATCCTTTTGAAATTGGCGTCTCCTTTTCTTAATAGTCTTTTGATTTTGCTGCACACAACTGTGTCCCTTTTTATTATGTTCTAAACATATGAAAAACCTTTCTTAGTATGACTACATTTCTCTGTTCCCCATGTATATATTTTCATTTAATTAGTTTGGTGTGTAGCCTGGGCATCAGAACTTTTGAAAGCGTCTCAGGTGATTGTAATGTGCAGTCAAGATTAAGAACGAATGAGCTAGAATCTAGATTACTCTAAAACTGCCTTCTCAGTAACTAAGATTCTTCTTTCTTTTCCTTTATTTTTCCTTCTTTATTAATTAAAAAAATGCAATTCGAAATTCCTAGAGAATAGATTCTTTGCTTTTGTTGGATGCGTTCTGAGAATTTTGGAGCTTCTCTCTATGGTGATTGTCTTTTTAACTTTCAACAAGTATTATAAAAACAATTTTTTCAAATTATATAGCTTCGAACCATTCTAAAGAATGCAACTTCAATTT